TTACAGGTGAGTTTATATGGGGTTTGTGATTTGCTTCAGAATAATGCAGGGCATGGGGGGTTGGGAAGCAAAAGTGGCTAGGAGTTAGTAACAAAGGAATTTCATTAAACTGGTCTTACTACTTTTTTAGTTTTTTTTTTTAATCCTCACTGGAGGATATGCTTATTGATTTTTAGAGAGAGGGGAAGGGAGGGAGGGTAGGAAAGAAAGAGAGAGAGAAACATCAATGTGAGAGAGAACAGAACATCAATCCGTTGCCTTCCATATGTGCTTCAACCAGGGACCAGGGATTGAACCTGCAACCTAGGTATGTGCCCTGACCGGGAATCGAACAGAAACCTTTCTGTATACAGGACGACACTCCAATCAACTGAGCCATACTAGCCAGAGATACTTTTTTATATGTTTGGAATTTTTCATAATAAAACATTTTTTTAAATTGTATATATTGATATAAGGTTAGCCAACTTTTCCCAAATAAGATTACAGCAAAGTAGCTACCATTCACCAGCACCATCATTTCCTAAGAAAATCCTATATAATAAAACACTAATATGCAAATTGTCCCCTAGACTGAGAGTTCGACCAGGGGGCGGGGCTGGCCGGCCAACCTCCCTGAGCCCCCCCCTTCCCCCCGACCTGTGCATGAATTTGTGGACCAGGCCTCTAGTGGTCTTTATAACATCAAGGATGCAGAAAGGGCTTATCTCTGAATAAAAGCCAGTCTGTGAGCTCCAGCTTCAAACAATCCTTCCCAAACCTCCTGTTTTTGAAAAACTGAGATCATAGCTAATGGACAGGCCATTTCAGGCTGCACTTGTTTGCTCTGTGACTCTGGAAGGCTGTTACTTGTCTCCTCTGTGCCAATATTTCTCTCTCAAAGACTCCGTGTTTAACCAGAAAGGGCCTCAGAGGTGTAGCATAACCATTTGTTATTACAAATGAAAAAACTGAGGCCAAGAGAGGAAAAGTGACTTGCTGGAAGTAACATAGTGTGACTTAATGGCAGAACCTAGAGAAGAACACAGGGCTTTTTATTGCTATTCCACGGTTTGCTCCACCCAATGTTTTACCTGCTCTGAATCAATGCATATTGTTTTTGTCTTAATTTAAGTTGGTGCCTGGAAAGATAGCTGTGTAGTCGTGCTGCCAGACCACCAGGCTTTAAATCTTGACCTTGCTAATTGCTGGTTGTGTGACCTTGGGTAGGTTTACCCAACTCCTCAGGCCTCAGCTTCCTCATCTGTAAAATGGGTAGATGCTGTATGGTGGTACTCACCTTCTAAGGTTGCTGTGAAGATTGAGCTAATGCCTTTGCAGTGCCTGCTGCATAGAAAGTGCTTGGTGTAGGGCAGTTGCCTGTATTCTTACCTCCTATGGGCAAGATGAGTTCCACAGGTTTGTTGTGGAAAGCAGGAATGACAGAGCTGGAATGGGCCTCCTGAGATCATCTACAGGAAATCCTTTTAAGAAAGAGAAAATGAGTCCCTGGGGGCTATGTGAACTGCTGAGGGTCCCAGGAAGCAGTTGGTGGCAGAAGAGGAAGTAAACTTCAAAGCCCCCCCCCAACACACACACACACACACACACACACACACACACACACACACACACCTTTCTGGGCTTCCCTCTGGGGTGGGGGAGGGGGTCAGCTCCACCTCATAGAGCCCTAAGCTAATGTCAATGCCAGTCAATTAAAGACACATGGTGAGTGCACAGAGCTTTACAGTTTACAATGATCATTTGCAAACTTGGTCCAGTGGGAGCCTTACTCCAGCTGTAGATAGTGAGTCCTGGAATGAATACAGGGTGGGGCAAAGTAGGTGTTAGGGTCGCTGAAGGAGGAACGCACGAGGCCAAAAGGGGTAAAGAATTATGAGTTTATTAGGTCGTCTGGAAAACCAGATGGGCTGAGCCCCCAAATGGCGCCAGCATCCAAGGACTGGGGAGTCAGAGGTTTTAAAAGACTCTAGGCGGGCTTCTTTGGGGCAGAGAATTCTCTTGGGTGGGTCCTGAGGGGAAAGATAATGGTCTTAGCAAGTGGAATGTGGTCTAACAACTGAAATGTGGTCGAAGCAAAAAGGGACTGTTGTAAAGTGGCCTAAAGGTCAGTGCGCAGGGGAGGGGGGATGCACTCAATTGATTCATTATTTGATCAGACCTAACAGTAGGTTTACAGTTGTAAGTACACGAAACCCAGAGTTTATCCTTTTCAAAATATATATTTTTTATTTATTTCAGGGAGGAAGGGAGAGGGGAAAACATTAATAATGAGAATCATTGATCGGCTGCCTCTTGCAGGACCCCCTGGGGATGGAGGCCACAACCTGGGCATGTGCCATGACCAGGAATCGAACCGTGACCTCCTGGTTCATAGGTTGACGCTCAACCACTGAGCCATGCCAGCAGGACCAGAGTTTATTCTTGTATTATTTTTTATTAATTATTGTATTACTTTCCAGATGAACGACTGTAAATCTACTTTTGCCCCACCCTGTATTTCATTCCAAAGTGAGCTGGTACCCAGGCCTGATAAGTGGAGGCTCAGAAATGCCTTGACTCCTCTGGAAGTTGAGGGCTGTCCTCTTCAAAAGGAGGAATTCAGGTTCCTGTAAAATGGCCGACACCCTCTCTGCCTTTGGAAAAGTCCTTCAACTACAAAGAAGTTAACTATTAACTCCAAGTAGGGCAGAAAGGCAGGCAGTTGCTATGGCAACATCTTTGGCAGCCTATCTGTCTTCCTCGGGCTCAAACAACGGCTTCCAGCAGGTTCCTGGTGGGGGTGGGGAAGGCCTAACGCGAGCCCAGCTACTGCCATCGGCCAATCTCCTGCTGGATTTCAGTGGCAAGAGGACGGTGGCAGCCAATAAAGAGGCCTGGAGCTTGAGTCATCGGCCTCCAGCCAGGTTGGAATAACAAGAAGGCCGGCACACGTGACCGTTTCCATGGTGACCTCCCTTAGCAACTCGGGCTGGTCCTGTTTATGAGGACTGGAAAATTCCGCCCAGCCTTCAGCCTGATTTTGTTACCTTCTCTGCCTCCTTCCTGCTTGAGGGGCCCAGGATGAAGTCAGCGCCGGTGTTTAACCCTTTCCGAGCGGTGCCTGGCCCCAGCCAGATCCAGGGGCCTGGGAGGGGGGAATATGCTCCGCACTGTGCTTGGTCCTGGAGGCGGAGGAAGGTAGTCCGAGTTGGTAGTGACAGCATTTATAGCGCAAATCATTTGAGCCCGGCACTGTACCAAGCTCCTGGTAGCCTCACACCCCTGACAGGAGGGTGGGGCACAGAACATTTCTATTTCACTGAGGAATAAACGTGGTTCAGAGAGGTTAGGGAACTTGCCTGGGTCACAGAGCATGTTGAGGCAGCAGGCCATTCTCTCCTCGATGGCTCTCTAATGCTTGCGGTGTGCAGGACCCGATGAGGTGGGGGAGGGTGCAGAGGGGGCGAGAGCCATGGTTTTCAGGGGAGCTGAAGGGAGGCTTCACTAAACAAGGAGGGTGACTCTGAGGCTGAGGGGAAGGATATGGAGCTGAGGGCTGGTGGGTCAGGCCAGGCCGGCCCAGTCCTTGTTTCATCCTGTAGAACTGGCCGTGCTGGGCAGGGAGGGAGTCAGCCCTACACACATTGCTGCGGGGAGGTGCTGCGTGGCTGCTGGCAGAGCCAAGAACCAGCAGCTGGAACCTGGGGTGAGGCCAGGAGCAATTCCCGGTGCTGGGCAAGCATGTGCAGAGCTGCTCTGAGCTGAGGCGGGTCCGTAGGAAGCCCCCAACTCTGTTTTCAAGGATGTTAAGTGACAATAACAAAGAACAGAAGTCATATGCCATAGCTTAAGGTCACAACAGATGAGTCACTGAGTGAAGGGTGTGATCACAGGAGTGCTGTTGAGGTCACTGGACCACAAAGGCCACAGGAGTCTGCAGGAAGGACTGGCCGTTGAGCAGCCTCCTGCGGGAGGAAAGGGCTCTAACCTGGTTCCTGACGGGTGGGCTCAGGAACCAGTTCACCATATCCTGTGAACTGGAGATCTGATAGCAAGCAGGGCTAGAAAGGGGGGACAGAGGGACACAACTGGTTGAGCATTATGGCCCTGGTTCAGGATGGGACAGGAAGTGAAAAGCATCGGGGACAAAGAGGAAGGGTCACTCAGGGTGACTTTGATGGTCTGTAGCCCAATGGTCTCTGTCTGGGCCAAAAGGTCTCAGCTGAAGTCTTTGCTGAAGCAGAACAGCCATGGAAATTTCCACCCAAGTTCTTTTCCCGGCGCTGTTCCCAGCTCCACCTTCCTCCCAGGCCCTGATGAGTCCGAAGTTCTTTTGCTTGTGTGGGCTGCAGGCTGGAGAGGCGAGGGCTCCCCCAGAGACCGTGACAGCCACAGACGGTGGTCAGAGCTTTAGGCACCCAGGGCACTGTGCCACCTGGAAACTGGAATTGTCACCCCAACTGACGTCCCAGGATTCCCACTCCCGGGAAGGCAAAGGGAGGAATGGCAGCTCCCACCATGTTGTCAGGGTTCTGAAGCCAGGCAGTTCCTGTGCCTGTGCCTCCCAGAGCACAAGGCCTCGGGCCCAGAACTAGCCCAGAGGCACCTAAACGGGAGTGCACCAAGTCTGCTCAGTTCTCTTGGGGGGAGCATTTTGTGTATTTATTTCCCACAGCTCCCAAGTGGAAGAAGCGACTGTGTGTGAGAGGGGAGCTGTGAAGACACCAGGAGCTCTCCCCCTCCCCACCCCCACCTCTCCTTGCCCAGGATCTCAGCTCTGCCCACCTCCAGTTAGGTTCTGCCACCACAGCAACAGCTGGGGTGGGGGCCAGATGGAGCCCTGGCCTCAGGGCAATCAAGTGAGGTTACCAAACAGGACAAAATGCCATCTCTATGGTGTCGGCATCCTTTGTCCACAGCTGGAGGGAGGGGAGGGGTCGCCCTCAGTGAGGTTGATACCGATCACCTCTCCCACCTCTGGGCATGAGTGAGCCTGAGGTTTCTCTGTCCACTTTCAGGCTCCAGCAGTGGCACCTCATCCTCCCACCAACCTGGCTGCAAACCCCGCATTCCCACTGACCTTCAGAGGAGCCGGGAGACATGTTAACAACACAGCATCATCCAGGAAAATAGAGGCTGTGCTGAGACAGAGGTGAGATAACTAAGGGGTGATGATGCCAGGTGACTGGATATGCTGGTCCGAGAGGCCCTTGGAGAGGAGTGCCGTCTAGGCTGAGAGAACGAGTCTCATCTGAAGAGTAGGGAGGTATATTCCAAGCAGATGTGTCATCAAGAGTAAAGAACATGATTCTGGAAACGCCAGGGGTGCTACAGAGACCAGTGTGGGAAGCTCAGAGAGCCTCAGGCAGGTTTTCTGTACCTGTGTTCTGTCCCTTGTCCCATGGCCACCACCCACCCCAGTGCAGGCCTCCATGACCTCTGGCCTGCCTGGGCTGCAAGAATGGACACACCAGTGCCCTCCCCTCTGCCCCCTCTCCCCCCTCAGCCACCTTGCAAAGAGCAGCCACGGCATTTCCCAAAGCCAGGCCCCCTCCCAGCTCAGGAGTCAGCCTCTGCCCAAAGAGTCGAGTTCAAACCCCTCTCCAGGTAATTCAAGCCCTGGCAGACCTCACTTTAGTCTTCCCTTCCTGCTTCCCCTACTCTCTAGTGGGTTCCCAGCAGGTAATGAACTTTAAGGTCCACTCCACCTCAGTCACTGTACAGCTCTACTTTGACCTTAGCCCCAGGAAGGATCCATAATGCTATGGGCTTCTGTTTTTACCTGACATATGTTGAGAAATACACCATTGGCAAAGTTCCTGGAACTGGGTGACCTCTGCCCCCTTGTTCTACAAGACTTGTTTCTGTGGGGATGTGGACCACAGTTGGGTTGAGAAAGAATGAACACATACAGAAGATGTGAAATGTTTAATGAGCTTCCTGCTGGGTGTGCAACGCGTATGTGATGCTGACACAAACATCTGCCCGGACCTCAAAGGGGGTGATTGAACAGATCACAGGTGGGGATACAAGAAGGTCAACATGATTCACTGGGGAGCCTCCCTATTCCTTCAGGCTATTTCTGAAGGTCCACTCAGCAGGCCTCAGAGGGTGAGTAACTAGAGGCCCCAGCACAAGGGAGGGCTGGACACTCTGCCTCCCCCCAGTGAGTCACACAGCGGAATGACAGCAAGGCCTGAGCCTTCCCCTCGCTCCCCTCCCCTCGAGGGTGAATGCCCAACTGGAGCTTCATGGAGCCCTGAAGCGGCCTTCGGGTCTTCTCTCCTGCCTTCGCGGATCACAGTCTGTCTACAGTGGTTCTCAACCTTCTGGTCCTTTAAATACAGTTCCTCATGTTGTGACCCAACCATAAAATTATTTTCGTTGCTACTTCATAACTGTAATGTTGCTACTGTTATGAATCGTCATGTAAATATCTGATATGCAGGATGGTCTTAGGCGACCCCTGTGAAAGGGTCATTCGACCACCAAAGGGGTCGCGACCCACAGGTTGAGAACCGCTGGTCTAGAAGTTCTTCAGAGAGGGAAGCAGTTCCCCCTTTCTTACTCAGTACCAGCTCCACGCAGTCACTCCATCCTGATGGGCAGTGCGTTCATGTCAAATGTAACTCATCTTGTTCCTGTAGAGTCACGTCAAATTGTGCCTCATCACTTCCTTCTTCCTTACTAGCAATGCTCAGCACCATTCTCCAGGACGTAAACATCACAACAACCTGCTGAAAACCTCCCTTACCACTGGGCTTACTGAGACAAGTATCTCTGTAGGACATTCCAGGAGGGGGAACGCTGGTTCTCTCACAGCCCCTTCTGTGCTGGCTTTTGGGTCGCTCAGTGGCGCTGCACCTACTGAGCATCTACCACCAGGCTCTCTCCACTGTTGTTCTTGGGTTTTTAATCTCAAGACTGTGCACCAAGCACTAGTGATACCAAGACAGACCTCCTAGGCCTCCCTTTCCTCATCCCTCTAAGCGGGTAACAGCAGCGTCTCCCTCACAGGGTGGTTGAGAGGACTGAGAAGAGATCATGCACGGTGCTCTTTAAATGTCACAGAACAGAAAGCTGTCTGCTGGGTTTACTGTCCTGCAGACACACCAGGGGCAATGGAGGGGCCAAGGAAAGCCGGTGCACTCTGTTCTCTACTGGGGGGAGGAGGTCAGTAAAAGTCTCTACTGTGATGGGGCTAAAGCTGCTCCTCTGAGAGCCATGCTCTGGCCACTGCTGCCACTCTGTCCTCCCTCAGCTTAGGGTGCTACAGCTGCACTGCCACACCCAGGCCTTCTAGAAAGATCCACAGAGCAGGCTGCAGGGCCAGCGCCAGACACATTACGTGGGGAATAAACTAAAGAAGGGAACTAGCAGCCTGGAGCTCTGGGGCTGGGGGTGGGGAACTGCTCTTTCAAGATACCGTTGTCCCCTCCGCAGAAGTGGATCCTATCACACAGAACCCTTCTTCTGAGTCTTAGGGGAGGTGCATTTAGAAGATGGATACAGAAGTGGATCCTATCACACAGAACCCTTCTGAGTCTTAGGGGAGGTGCATTTAGAAGATGGATGCTTTTCTCAGGAAGAGGAAAATGTTTCCCTTATTCTTCTACCTAGTGCTGCCCAGTGTCTGTGTGGGAGAGGCCAGGGCTGCCTCTTCCTGGCAGCATTTTGGGGGAAGACCAGGGTTACAGCCACTTCTAGCCCCGCCCCCCTTTTTTCTGTTTCATGTGATTTATTTTGCTGGAGGGTACATTTGATTTTTTCTTCTTTCCAGATTCAGCTTTTAGAATGACTATTTTCACACATCAGTGTTTGTGTTCATGGTTAAAGGTTATTTTTAAGGGTGGAATTTCTAACACTATACATTTCGATCACATTTAGGAATCCTTAACTTTTATCCCCTGGGGTAGAACAAGAAATAACGTCAAGAATTACTTCTGGACTCTTCCCAGCCCAACAGGCCCTAGCGTGTGTCAGTGTTTCAGCCAGTGAGGCAGTGAACTGTTGATCCTGACATTGGTAAGTGAAATGGAATCTCTTTAACTTTTTTGTTACTAAAAGATGAAACTTTCAGGTCATTGTGAATGATATATTCTAGAGGTCAGGTATTCCTCGGCGACAAAAGATAACTTCTTACTTTCTATATCATCTCCCAGTTCTTCTGTGTAGTGGTTAGTCCCCCTCCCCCGCTACTTCCTACGAAGCACTCAGAGGATTATACTACCCTCCATCCCTCCCACCCCAGACCTGTTTTCCATAGCACTTTGTATATATCTTTGTTGTAGATACCACAAATACAATGATCACATTGTACTGTGTTTGGTTTACATATCTGTCTAACTCACTAGACTATAAATTCCTCGGGATTAAGGATATTTCTCCTTTAGCCACTTCTAATTGCTGTTGATCTCTCTTCCGCATAATGGAGCTGTGAGCTGAGTCATCCCTGGGTTTTTTCCTGCCGCAGGATCTGGCTGCTCTGCAGAGGAGGAGCTCAACGTTTTGTGGTCATTGTTCCAGAGATCAGCTCTGGAAGGTGGGCGGCAGGAGGGGGCTGGGAACTCCTAATTCCTAGTCTTCAGAAAACAAGCAAGTTGTTTCTTTGGGGCACCCATTGCCTTTTGAGACATGCGTTTCTAGAACAGTCTCTGATAATGCAGGATCAGGAAAAAAACAAAAAAAAAAAACAAGAATGAGATTAAAATCAAACAAGAGGCCCGGAGGGGATCCAGGTGTAGCTTGAAGCCTCACCCCTCTGGCCTCTGGACCCCAGACCCAAATACAAAGGGCCTCAGAAGCTTCTCTCTTGAGTAAGCCTGACTGAAGAGGGAAGGATTCCGGCATTTTCTGGAAGTTTCTGGCCGTGGTGTGAGTCTGGGGGATGAGGCAGGGCCTTGCTGACAGCAGGCCCCGGAGCCCTCATTCTAAATCTCATACTTCAGTCCTTTTCAGTGCCCTACCTCCTTGAAGCCAAAACCAGCATCTAAAATCCCCCGTGTTCTCCTCCCATCCTTTGTTTACTGCATTTTATAGAATTAGCATCATCACTCTGTCATCTAATCTCATTCTACACCTCAGAAAATTGCTGAGAAGTTATTTGGGTTAGTGCCCAAGGTCACATTGGTTCCTCCCTGGAGTGATTGCCAGAAACCAAGGACCTCCTATTCTTAGCCTCGGCTTTTTGAGGGTGGGGGCAGGGAACAGGAGACAACCAGCTAAAACGGATTTGCCCTCTAAATTTGTATCTTTAGGCTCAAATGAAGTCCAGGTTTTTAGACTGAGGAGGATATGAAGTACCAGCGGAGAGAGCAGCGGCCATCAGCCGGACATTCTGAAGTTAATGGAAACATGGATGCAGGCAAGGGGAAAAGCGCCTTGAAAAATGCAGTTTTATGTTAAAGATCTTCTTAGGTCAAAGTTGCGGGAAGGCACATATTAATCTCATCAAAGAACATGGTGATTTTACCATCTTGTTTAAATCAATATATAAAGGAGAGGAGGGTAGGAATCAGAATATTTTAGAGACTGTTTTGTGAAGCAAAAGCTAGGAGAGAGGAAGGCAATCCATGTTTGAGCCTGAACAGTAAAAACAGGAGTTAGTGTCCATAATCATCTCTAAAATGATTTTCATTTACCCATCAGAAAAATTAGAATGTTCTCTCTGGCCTTGGCAAGCCATCTCTCAGCACAGTGCTGAGCTGCATTCAAATCTTCTATTTCTTTTCCCAAACCCAAGGAGAATTAATCAAATAATATACAGCCATTTTCACAATATAAGAAAAATGCTATAATCTGTAAAGGGAATGGGGGACTAGTGTAGGGACATTCTGACAACTATTTGAAGCGCTTTCGGTCTCCTAACACTCATCTCACGGCTCCGGAGTGGGACCAGACCACCGATCCCGAGGGGCCCGCGCCCTCCGCCCTCCCCGGAGCCGACAGAGGCGCCATGAAGTCCAGGTTCTGGGATTCACAATAGGTTCCGGTACTAACTAGCTGTGTCTGGTTTTGGGCAAATCACAAACTCCCCGGGCTCCCAAATCCCCATTGGTAAAATGGGGTGACTGTTTTCCTCCTTCCGGTGCTAAAATTCTATAAACATTTTCCAGTCCCAGCGCGGACATCCGTCCTGCATCTCAGTGACATTCCACCTGAAGGGAAGGCGGGGAAGCGGGAGGGAAGGTTAAACCCGGCCCCGCTTTACTGGGTGCGGGAGGGGGGTCCGCACGAGGCAGCGCCCTCACTGCCGGAGCCCCAGGCGGCTCCCACCCTTCACAGCCGCCGCCATACAGGAGCCACAGGGCTTTAGAGAGAGTGTGGGCCTCACACAGCTGCTCCTCTAGCTGCCATTCTAGCCTGTATCGGTCACTAAACTCCATCTTCCCCTCTTGGGACTGACTGCCTAAAGACGTGCCGTTTGATAGATGTTAAATCAGTGGGTGACTCTGACAAAGGAAGAAAAAGCAGGCCTGGGCTGAAAACGGACGACGGGGAAGGGGAGAGCCACCCGCGCGCAGGGGATGGAGGAGGGGCGGCCAGGAAGCCGGGCCGGAGCCGCTCCCTCCCGGGCAGCCCGAGGGTGGGGAGACTAAACTAAGGGGAGCGGGGCCCCCACCCCGCTTCCCCCTGGTTTTGCCTTCTCTGTGCAGCCCCTTTGGCTGCGTGGAAACTGTGCGGGGAGCCTCCGGTGCCATTGTTCCCACTCCCTCAGGCCTCGCTGGGGGGGCCGGGCTCGTTGCTGCCTGGGCCCCGGGTTTGCAAGTTCCATGTCCGGAGCCTAACCCCGCTTTCCCTGTGGGGAGAGACGGAGGGGGCGGCCAAGAGAAAACCAAACTGCAGGAAGAAAGGGCTTTGTGTGAGTTTTTGCTTTCCGTCCAGCTCCAAGTCCAAAGGTGTTAGAATGCAGCCAAACCGGAAAGGACAGCGTCTGTACAAGAGCCCAGAAAGCGACTCCTGAGCGCCGACAAGCCCGCCTGGCCCGGCTGCCCAAGGTCACTGTGTCTTTAGAGGCAAAACCCTCGCTGTTCGGGCACTTGATAGAGGGCACTTCCCCTCAGTTTTGATCAGCGGGTTTGGATGTTGATAATGAGAGAAAAGCCTAGGAACACAGAAACCAGGCTTGATTTAAAGTCTCAGCAGGCAACCAAAAGCATAGGGTCTAGCTGGCAGGAATGGCAAAAACAAAAGGACGTTAAGCAAGTAAAATAACCACAGTGAGCCGCACGGACGCCTCAGATTGTAGGAGGCTTCTGAGACGGGTGCCGACTCTATTGCCGGAGATAACAGTGGATTGTGTCTACCTAAGACATGTTCTATTAGTGGATTCCCACATTCAGTAGAATTAAGCAGATAATCCAGACCACTGGATTTCTCAAATAAACGGGTAATCAAAACGTGGTGTAACCCCAGAATCAACTCACAGGACGTGAGCAGTTTGGGGGGGAGGGGGACCTCAACACTTTGCCACAGCCAAAATGGCTGCGGTCTCTGTTACATAATGAAAATTAAGGCCTTTAGCAAACCCGTGTTAACCTGCCTTCAAAAAGCAGTAAATAGTACCTACTGAACTTCGAGGAAAGGTATTTTCAAAGCTGCTAAAAGATTCCCAAGCAATGGCTCTGAGGTTTTGTGAGCTGTTTGATGGTGGACTCAAATGTGATTTTCATGGATTTTGCCTAAATTTTCAGCTCAAGTCTACTTGCTAATGAGTCTTAAATATTTCTGGGTATATGGTTTGCAATTATTTTGCATAAACGGTTAGAAAAAAACTAGAAAAGCTTGTAAACCGGATTCTATTTTTAACCTTTCCTAGGAACTACTTTTGCTCCCTCACAAAAGCTGCGGAGGGTTATTGAATGCCAACAGCGTGAGTTGTCCTTCGCCCATAAATACGCCTCTCCCGGCTCTGCGGCAGGCATTCAGGCAGCGAGCGCAGAGATGACTGCTGAGACCGAGGCACTACTTGAGGAAACCAGATAAGTTTTTCTATTAAAAAGAGATAGAAAATAATATTGTTTAGGAAATGTAAATAGCGAAGGAAGGTACTTACTGAGATACTGCTTAGCATTAATATTTTAACTTTTCTAACAAAGATCTTATTTAAGGGAAAATATGATGAAGACTTACTTAAAAAGTAGTTTCAGAAAGGAAGAGAGAAGAAAATACTTCCAGAACATGACGGAGATTAAGAGATGAAACTTCTTTACGAAGTAAAATAATTTTCAAAGAAATGGCTGATAGGACGGCAAAGTCTGAACTCAAAAACGCCTTAACTAAATTGAAGGGCAAACTTTAAAAATACCATTAAACCGTAGGTGACATAACTAGAACATAATTGTCAATTAAAGAAAGTTGGAGGTGGTTAAACTATATATTAAATGCCGTATTTAAAAGAGAAAATTGATTTAAGAGAGGCCTTCAAATTCATGGCGCAGGAAAGATTGTGTCATTTGAAGCCCAATTGCTCTTACGGCATTATTAGCCCAAGATGGGCAATTGTTAATTTAGAAATCGTAGGATAAAATTTTGGAGAAAGATTAGAAATTTAAAGTGGAAAACTTGGAAGACAGAAGTGTACAGGAAGGTGAAGAAAAAGACTTAGAGAAGACAGGAAAATAGAAGATACAACATGCATTTTAGAAGACAGAAAAACTAAGTCCAAAAGGTAGAAAGCAGAAGAGAAAGTATTTAGGCAAATTAACCAAAGCAACTAAGGGCACAGATACAAATGTAGTAGAAAACCAGAAGATAGAAAATGAGAAGATACAGATTTAATAGAAAAGTAGAAAATGAAGATACAGATTTAAGTAGAAAACTAGAAGATAGAAAATGAGAAGATACAAGTTTAGTAGAAGATAGAAAAAGATACAGATTAAGTAGAAAAATAGAAGATAGAAAATGAGAAGATACAGAAAAGTAGAAAAATAGAAGATAGAAAATGAGAAGATACAAGTTTAGTAGAAAAATAGAAGATAGAAAATGAGATACAGACTAAGTAGAAAAATAGAAGATAGAAAATGAGAAGATACAGACTAAGTAGAAAAGTAGAAGATAGAAAATGAGAAGATACAAGTTTAGTAGAAAAGTAGAAGATAGAAAACGAGAAGATACAAGTTTAGTAGAAGATAGAAGGTTGTCAAGAAAAGTATTTCAGCTAGAAGATAGTACAGGAACAAAAGGAGGAAATTAAATTTTTAATAATTTGTAATTTAATAATTTACTATAAAAGCCCATAAGTTTAATTTCTGGTGGTGCAGAAGTTAGCTTTGAGAAGACGAGGATGTTTAAATTGCTGTAGAACAGGCCTAATTTAGAAAAATATCCGGAAGAAGCTAGAAGGGAAATCGGCTAAAAAAAATAGCAGAAATCCACTAAAAGGACTGAAGTAATTTTAAAACTAAGGGTAGGATGTTTTGGAAGACTTACAAAATCTTGAAAGGCCTAAATACATTAGCTTAGTTCTCTTTGGAAAATTTAAAGGACTTTCATAACCGAAGTAATTCGAGATCAAGAATAATCACCAACTTAACGCTTTTGCTTTGGACTGAGCTCAGATGAAGTAAAACCTGAGGACTTAGCGTTAATTGTCAGCTGACCAGGTGCTACACAGAAGTGGATTCAGTGAAGCTAGGACGACAGGAGCGACAGACAGGATTCCAGGAGCCAGTGTGGTGAAGCTAGGACTGAGCGGCCAGCGGCGGCTGGCGAATAGGAGAGGAGCCCGGGAGCCAGTGCGGTGTGGAGGCAGCTAGCAAGAAGGAGGAGCGCTTGGCGGTGAAGCTAGAGAGGCTTCCGGGGAAGGAGGAGGAGCCCGTGCGGCGTGCTGACGCCAGCGTGCGACTGGGCGACCAGGCGGAGGCGGAGGCGGAGGCGGCGAGCAGGCGGGAATAGGATAGATAGAGGAGCCTAGAGCAGCGGGCGTCCGGTGCGAGGCCGCGGGGCAGCCAGTGGTGGTAAAGTCCGGGAGGCCGGCCGCGCCCTGGTTTTTGGTAACGAGAATGGTAACCTTTACTTCACTAATGGTAATGGGGGCGTTGTATTAAGCGGCAAGGGCTCTCTTATGGAATGTAGGCCGATTTCCGGGTGTTGTAGGTTTCTCTTTTTCAGGCTTATTTTCTCATGCATCTTGTCTGAAGCTTTTGAGGGCAGACTTCCAAGGCCCGGAGGAATGGTAGATGGCAAGTTTTATGGTTTTTGTCTTTTAACCAATTTGAGGGAAACATGAATTGAGACAAAATTAAGGCAAGTTTTGTTTTTTAGCTTGGGGTAATGAAACATTTGAGTTTTGTGAATGTCAAGTTTGGGCGTGTATGGGGGGGAAGTTTTTGTGGGGGGGCAAAATGTCTTGAGTTCTTTTCCCCTTAGGTCTGTCTAGAATCTCAAAGGCAAATGACTCAAGGTAACAGAAAAAAAGAAAATCCAGTATCAGGATAATCAGAACATCACAGGTTTACAGTTTCTAGAAATTAGAGCACGAGCAGTTCTCACTTTGAGGTCTGTGGAGGAGCTGTGCATTGGAGAAATGGCTGGTAGTTATTCTTTTTTTCCACCCCATAATCAGATTTTTAAAAGTATGTAATCCTTAAAAGTTTATTTGAAGTATTTTGGGGTGTTCTTAATAGGGAAAAGGGTGGGGGGAGCAAAATGTTTTTTTCTAAGATTTTCCACAGATGCTATAGTGCTATTGACAAACTGGGTTAGAGAAGGATTGCCGATATGCTGTTGGCAACACCGCCTTTAGGGATTGGAGCTGCTTCTTCTCTTGGAAGAGTATTCCCAGTTGAAGCTGAAAGGTACAGCACAGTGCAGCTTTGGTTCACATTCAGTCATCTCAGGAGAACTTCAGAAGATCTTGACTAGGCCAAATGTTGAAGTTAAGTTTTCAAATACTGTGACTTTTAAAATAACCTTTTATTAAAAGGGGAGGGGCAAATTTTGGCAACCTTTGGCAGTAGCTTGTTATGGTTGGGGTTGGGGGGGGTTGGGTTTAGGTAATTGTTTAGTTTATGATTTCAGATAAACTCATGCCAGAGAACTTAAGTACTTAGGATGAAAAAACTAAGGAATCTCAACTTCCATGTTGGCAAGTAACTCCCAATCTTCAAGTTTTTGTTTGCCCTCAATTTTTGAATTGAGCAGCTGGGAAGTTTCATGAAGATCCACTGGATTCAAAATGCAGGGCCTGGGGAAGGAAAGTGTTGGACGGGGTTGGTCTAGCCCACTGGGCTGACAAAAAGAATACCTTGGGAATTTTTGAACACTTAAGTTTGGATATGGTAGTGTGTTGGTTCTCTTTTGGAATTTTTTTCAGGTGGTTTAATAAAAGTTAATACTATAGGAGCTTCAGAGCAGAGGAAGTGGCTTAATGATCCTGAAGGGATTTCTTCTGATGGTAGCTTTTGTGTTACAAGTAAGATTCTATTTTTAATTGTACATGAGCAAGTGTGTGTGTTTTTTGGTGTAGGAAAAACATTTTTCCTTTGACTGCAAAACAAGATGTTAAGGTATGCTTTAAAATTATTGTCAATTGTATATTTTATGTTTGCATCCTAAGTTTGTAAATCATAACTGATAAAAGAAAGGGTGGGCTTTGTTGACAAGGGAGGGGAAATCTTTTTTTCTGTAGACTTTTTTCAGATAACATCTTCTGAGTCATAACCAGCCTGGCAATAATGATGGCCTAGATGGAGAGGGAACAACTCCTTGGTGAATGATAAGTAAAAGCAGAAAAGATTATATTTCATACCTTCATTGGGGAAAAAGCATAACCCTGAGATCCTAACTACTGATGAAAACATTGTCTGCATATGCCAAAAAAAGCAAATGAAAGCTACCAATTTAAAGTTAATGGAATCTACCATTTTAAAGTTACGGCTTATCAAGCTATACCCACACAAAAATGAATCGATGAGAAATTAAATAATGAATTGAGAAATACAATGAAGATCATATGTCCATCTCAAAATACTGCTTTTACAAAAGCAGAATATAAATGAAATGAAATGAAAATGATAATACTACATTAATCCCGGAATAAAAGAAGCTGAAATAATTCAGAGGAGTTGGGATCAAGTGGATTCAGAGGAGAGGAGGCTGTGCTGTTTGCCAATCTTTCGTTTGCCTCAGACAGGTTCTCTTCGTTATCAGAAGAGTTGCTTCATTTCATCTGGGAGCAGAAAACAGCAGGCAACTGTTAACAGATAAGTTTAACTTGCATCTGCAGTTTTGCATGTTAGGGCTAAGTGCTTATTTTTATTAAGAGCTGTGGAGGTCTTAAGTATTGAACATGGCCTCCTTCCTGGTTCCTTCCCGAGGATTCCAGGATTGTGAGGAAGTTCCCCATTCAGCCTTTTTAAGATTAGACAGGACTTTACCTGTGGGCTTCCATGATGGGATAGCATCTCACTCAGAGGCAAGTTAATTCTTCAAGCCTCTCCAGATTAGCACTTAATAATAAAACTGAAATTTTTGTTTAGCACTGAATTGAAAAACCCTATGATAGGATAGGATAAGAATGTGCTGTTAATCAGATGTTAATCTTGCTAAAATTTAAAAGTTGTGTTGTTGTATGTTGTGCAGAAAACCATTAAATCGTTCAAAATAAAACATTTTTAATAGAAAATGTATGCTTTTAGGAAGCAGTTGTCTTATTTAAATAAAATACTGTTTGTTTTGTGGTTAGTGTTGGGCAATCTTGGGGGGATTCTTCTCTAATCTTTCAGAAACTTTGCGAACACTCTTTAATGGACAAGATCAGGAATTGAGCGGAAGAAGGAATTTAACTCTTAAGGCAGGAAAGACAAATTTTATTCTTCATAAATTGATGAGCATTTAATAATGCCAGGCACATGGCAATAGAGGGCCTCTAAATAAGGAATAAATACCTTAGGACAGGTGGGAGATAATCAGAAAAACAGGTAACTGCACCTACACTGTTTCCAGAAAGTCCAGGGATCTGTAAACTTAGAGCAATAAAATACTGTCTACATTTCCAAAGTTTGCATGTTAACTTAAATGCTTATGACCATCTCATCCAGTGTTAGCTAATGTCCACACTATTGGCCTTTTATGTAGACACGAGTTGGGGGGCATGTGGGTTTTTTAAGAATTTTCCTTTGCAGAGGCTTCATTTCATCCCTCATGAAGCTGTTCAGGACTTTGACTTGCATCTAGCGCTTGGCTCTGCCTTCTGTTCTCCTAGTGTGTGAGACCCTGCAGTGAGTTTATCAGCATACTCAAGTAACATTTCCCCTCTGATTTTCCAGGGATGGGAGGAGGGGGCGGGGCTTACTTGTCAGTTTTTTTTTTACAGACTACACAGAATGCGGTTGTCTTGACCTCAGGTCTGTCTGTTCTGTTGGCAAGTAATGCAGTACTGTTCTGATCCGCTGCTATTAGAATGCATTGTGAGACGACTGGAGTATGATTTAAAGTTGTGTTTCCCCCAATGCTTGGAGTAGTGATTGTTGAAGGAAAACCAGCTGAGTGCTAAAGGCTGAGTGTTGAGGAAATTTCTGCAGCTTTAAGTATTCATGTTTGTGATTGAAGCCAAGTGCCTTTTGCTGTGCTTTAGGTAAAATGCTTTTTGTTCTTTCCTGGTAGGGGGGTGGGGAGGGCACTGAAGCCTTTAGTCTTTTCCAGATGCAACTTAAACTCAGTGACAAGAAATGCAAGTCCTCAAGAAATGTAACTGGCAAGTGGAAATGTTAATACAGTTCAGTGGTCTTACTTAGTGCATTGTGTTTGTGTGGGTTTCTCTCTCCCCTCCCTTGGTCTTAATTCTTACACACAGGAACATTCAAAACAGCAGACGTATGAAAAGGGCCAGAGAAGCCAGCCCCAGTAAGGAAAAATAGCTTATTTTCTTTAAACAAATATTCCGTATTGTATGTGGGGATTGGGAACCACTAGTTCTTTCAGATGGTATTCTTCAGACTATAGAAGGAGCTTCCAGTTGCATTCACCAGTGGACAATGAGGACAACAGGTGACCAAGCCTTTTCTGTTTACATACCAAGTCAGTTAATGGGTAAATAACTTAGTGTGGAATAGACTTCAGCTTTATGCTGGAGCAAATAGTACATACATGAGCACGTTGTTGGCCTGGGGGCGGAGGGGTGAGGTGGGCGCTAAGCCTTTTTTTTTTAAGATTTTTCAGGTATACCTCACTAAAGGCACCGAAGGCTTAAAGTAGGACAACCACGGAGCCTTCCTGTGGCAAGAGACAACAAAGCGCTATTAACTAAGGTCAAAAAGGGTGTCGGCCTCGTAACCCCATCCTCTGTCAGAAACGAGGACTTGCCTTAACACTTGGCAGACATGCACTGGTCCTCTTTCCTGGGGAGTGAAGCGCCCAAAGGA